TGTTGAAGAACCAGGGGGAAAAAGCACTCAGGGTAGATAGCATTGCCCCAAGAATGTAATTCTCTGCAAGCCTGGCTGCTGAAACTGCATGCTGTAACCTGAACCCAGTTTATCTGATAGCTACTGAAATGACCTGCACAACTCTGAATAGTTTTACCCACTGCAGTCACTCACCAGTCAGAGCTTTCCAGTGCCCCAGAACTCTGCTAGTACCAATGAGCTTTTTTTTTAGAGCTATATATAACATTTCTCCTTTTTATAAAACCTCCAACCTTCTCTTTGTTCTTTTTACATACAGAAGACCACCCAGTTTGTGTGTATCCCTCAAACTGCAATTCTTCCTTCCCAAATAAAACGTTTTAAATTTGGAGAGTCATCTCTTTATCTTATTTGACTTCAACAGCCTTTATCACAATTGGCAGTTATCTGTTTCTCTTTTATTGTCAGTGTTCCTTACAAAGCTGTGCCTCTAGGCACCTGCTGTCTCCCTTACTAGACGATGAGCCAAATGAAAGGTCATCACTGAATGTCTGTGTTCCCCCCAAGATTCCTGAATTGCAACCTTAACCTCCCACTGTGGCTATATTTAGAGATGCGGCTGCTAAGGAAGTAATTAGTGTTAAATGAGGACATAAGGGTGAGGCCCTGAAATAGGATTAGTGTCCTTGTAGGAGACAGCAGAGCATTCTCCTCCCCGCCTACCCCATGCACAGAGAAGTCATGTGAGGACAGAGAGAGAAGGCTGTATTTGCAAGCCAGGTACAGCTAGAAACTCACTCCACCAGCTCTTAATCTGGAACTTTCAGCCTTCAGAACGATGGGAAAATAAGTATCTCATCTCAGCCACCCAGCCCCCATCATTTTGTTGCGCAGATCTAGCAGATCAGGCAGGGCCCCGGGTACTTGTTTGTTCACCACCTCCTCCCCACTTCTGGCTATGGCACTCTGCACACGATAGGGATTTGGTAAATGTTTGTTACCCAAATTAGTGAATCTTCCCATTTGTACTGCATTTCTATGCACTTAGGAAGTGGTGAAAGCAACAGAGCTTGGAAATCAAGAAACCTGGGCTGGGCTGGGCACTGTGGCTCACGCCTGTAATCCCAGCACTTTGGGAGGCAGAGGTGGGTGGATCACAAGGTCAAGAGATCGAGACCATCCTGGCCAACATGGTGAAACCCTGTCTCTACTAAAAATACAAAAATTAGCCGGGTGTGGTGGCACGCGCCTGTGGTTTCAGCTACTCGGGAGGCTGATGCTGAAGAATCGCTTGAACCCAGGAGGCGGAGGTTGCAGTGAGCCGAGATTACACCACTGCACTCCAGCCTGGCGACAGAGCAAGACTCTGTCTCAAAAAAAAAAAAAAAGAAACCTGGGCTGGGTTAAAGTCCCTATCTCGTCACTGAATCCCCCTTTACTCACTGTATTCCTTCTCCTATTTGGGCCTCAGTTCCCCAGTTGGTGAGACAGTATGAGTCAACAAAATGTCCTTTCAAGTTCCCTCCAGCAATAAGATGGTATAATAAAAATGGCTTTCCTCTCTGGGGCAGTGACTGTGACCCAGGCACTGTACTTGTTTCTTTTCTCATGTAATCATCACTACTGTTTAAAGACACCTTCATTAGTATTTTACAGTTGAGAAACACCAAGGCACAGCGTAGTGGCCATCAAAAAGGGAGCAGTATTGTTAGCATTAAAAACATTGTCTTTTAATCCCAGCACTTTGGGAGGCCAAGGCAGGCTCCGGAATTCAAGACCAACGTGGCAAAACTCCATCACTACAAAAATTAGCCAGGCATGGTGTCATGCACCTGTAGTCCCAGCTACTGGAGAGACTGAAGTGGGAGGATCACTTGAGCCTGGGAGGTGGAGGTTGCAGTGAGCCAAGATCGCACCTTGCCCTCCAACCTGGGCAATGAAGTGAGACTCTGTCTCAAAAAACACGCACAAAACATCCCCCTATTGTCCTTTATTCTGATAGTATGTTATTCCAGCTTTAGAGGGTTGAAATTTCTCTTTTTTTATAATGGCGATATTTTAAAGGTTTTTATAGAGAGAAATGAGAATTTGCCCATCTATACCAGTCCCTAACATTTATTTGGAAATTTGACTGATGCATAAAGTCCCAGTCTTGAATGACATGAACTATGCACAGGAAGGGGTTTCAACTATTTCAGAGTTTCTACTGCACACTAGTCATAGCAGAGGAACACAGAGGTAACTCAACTACAGCTTCAGAGCACATTCCAAGAGGCCTGGAATCCAATCAAAGCTCTGCCTCTAGTACTCACTGAGTCACCTTAGGCAAGTGAGGTAACCCCTCTGAGCCTCAGTTTCCTCATCTGTAAAATGGGAGTAATCATAGCGCCTACCTCATGTAACACACTTCATCTAGAGCTTGGCACATAGAATAGACTCAATACATGTGAGTAGCTATTATCATTATTATCTAGGTGGGGGTAAGAGGAGTCACAGTCATCAGCCACAGACTATGAGAAGATACCTGGGGGAGCGAGGATAGGGTGATGAATTTTCATCTGGGTAGAGGTTTCATTCTGTCTCTGGAGTCTCCAACTTCTGGCCCAAAAGAGTACTAATGATCATTTCTACCAGATTATATGACCTCAGGCAAATCATTTCCCAGCTCTCTGCCTTGGTCCTCCAATCTATTAAAAAGGAAGCAGTTATTTCCACTCCATAGAACAGTGGACTCAAACTTCAGCCTGTATGGGATTCACCTAAGGAACTTGGTAAAAATATCACGGCACAGATTCTGTTTTGCTTCAACAAGTCTGAGTCTCTGTTCTTTATTATCTCATCAGATGTTTTGATACCACCTTTCAAAACTGCCATAAAGCCATGAAAGGAACAAGGCTCTGTGTTTACTCAAGGATCATAGGAGATTATTATCATTATTTACGCCCCATTTGCTCCACCCTTTTTGGAGCTGTCCAGGGAGCAGGCTGTCCTTTCATTGGCCTCAAGAAAAGCCGGCCTGCAACTCAGCATTACCGAACACCCCACCCAAGCCCTAGGGGTCCTCATGCTTTTGAAAGTCATCAACAAACTAGTATCCATCTCGCAAAGGAGAAACGGAAGCTCAAAGGGGAACAATATCTTTCCAAGGGTTGCCACAGCTTCATGGTTAGAGCCACGGTGGAACCCAGGGCTTCGGGTGCCTGGGCCACTCATGTTAGAAGGGCTTATTTTGGATATCTCCACCCTGGGAGAAGATCTCTTGCCTGCTGACAGGTGGTGCAATGAGTTAGGGTCTAGAGTCCCACCCTACAAGCTTTCTTTTCATTGACGATGTCTGGGAAGAGCTCCGGCCAAACACTGATATTCCAGCCACCCCTTTCCAAAAGGTCTGAAGGTAACTCAGAGTTCTTCTCACAATCTGGAGAGGAAGGCAAGAACTAGCTCATATCTAAACATAGCCAGCTCCTTGACAATCTTATTTACTGATCATGCTCTAGCAGGAACACAGAGCTCCACCTGTGACTTCAAATCTGAGATTATAAATTTAAATTGGGGAATTCCAGGCTGTGAACGAGCAGGTCACGGATGCAGCCTGCTACTTCACAGACCAGGAATACTGCCATGTAATGGTGCCAGACAAGAGAATAACGCTTCTCAAATCACAGCAAGTGTTTCAGTTGATTCAGGACAAGAAATTTTCAGGGTAGGACCAGCATTAAGTAACTTTCAGGGTAGGTAGTATAATAGTCAAAGCTGCAGGCTTCAGACAAAAAAAAAAAATCTGGCTAGCGGAGAGTTCAGATCTACCAAGTTCTGGCTGTGACCTCCAGCAAGTTATTCTTGACCTCTCTGAGCCTCAATTTCCACATCTGTAAAAACAAACTAACAAAGCTACCCAGAGAATTAGCCAGGCTTTGTGGAACTTGAAGCTTGTCCCATTGAGAAGGAGGAAGTAGTGGTAAGGAGGACCTCTTTAAGTAAAAAGCAATACACAATTGTACATTCAAAATTGCATACAGGGCCTTAGAAAGAGCCCCATGGAAGGGAGGGGCCTGACAAATCTGTCTTGGATGCTACCAGTTAGCAGTGACACTAGCTAAGCAAAGCTCGTGGCATGTAGTAAGCCCTTAAGAAATGTTAGTTTTGGGGATGAGATGATAGAGGAGAGAGTGGTATGGCTTGAGTCAAAGGCTATAATTTTGAGGAAGGAGGAAATTTTGGCTTGTTCTGCATTGAAGCAGAGATAATGACAGAGAGTGGGATACTAGAGAAACGCCCAAGACCATCTTTAGCTGCAGAGTTCTATCCAAAGGGTCATGTGTGACCTTAGGCAAATCTCACCACCTCCTGGCGCCAGTGTCTTGCCCAGCAAAATGTGGCCGGGAGTCATACAATCCCAGCATCTTCCCCATTCCAGAAGAACACCCTTTACTCACTCCATGGAACTTCACAAAAGCTAACAATCAATCAGAGACGAGTGATTGACTATCCCTTTTTCTGTTCCAATTTAAGAATGGGGAGCTCCCAGAAGGGACGTCTTATAGAAGATTGTGGAGCCAGTGAGGTATGGAAACCTCTACCCTGAGATGGGTAAAAGGAGAGGGATTTGTAAGTATTTTCTTGGAGGCAGAAATAGGTTACTGATTGAAAACCTTGACAAATTGGGCTTGGTCCCAAGTCTGTCACTTTCTAGCTATCTGACTTTGGGCAGATCCCTTTACTTCAAGAAACCTCATTTTTCTCCTTATTTAATTGATAGGATTAAATGAGAAAATGTAGATGAAACTCTTAGAGGATCGTTTATCCCTCAGGAAAGTGCTTAATAGATATTTGTTATGAAAATTATCAGTATAATAGTTGTTATCATTATGATTATTACTAAGTAATACCGATAAGGATGGGTGATGCCTTTTCCAAATCCCTCCTTTCTCTCCTCCTCCTCCTAGGAGTCCTCTTCCACTGGCTTCTCCAGGCAGGGGGAGGTGCCCTCCAGGGAGGTGGGCGGGGCCTCATTCCGGCCTGGCCACAGCCAGTCCAGGCACACACACTGTGCTGGAGTGTACACCTACCCTAGACACCTTCCTGCTTCCCTTCTTCCAGAGCAGACCTCTTTGTCACCCTGACCTCCTGTTTCTTAAGCAGTCATGTCTGTGACAAAAAGTACTGAGGGTCCCCAGGGAGCCGTTGCCATCAAACTGGACCTTATGTCGCCTCCCGAAAGTGCCAAGAAGCTGGAGAACAAAGACTCTACATTCTTGGATGAAAGTCCTTCAGAGTCACCAGGCTCGAAGAAGACCAAAGGCATAACGTGAGTGCTGTTTTCTGCCATCCCTATTTCTGCTCTGCAGCCTGAAGTTTGCATTGGCAAAAACCCTGAGGTGGGTATGTCTGACCCTAAATCCACTGTGCAGATGAGAAGCCCAGGTTGCAAAAGGTGTAGTCACAGGCTGAGTCAAACTGAGAACTTAAAGGGGCAAGAGTAAAGACTGTCAGAAAAGCCCTTAGAGACATAGTGATCCTGCCCCCAATAGATACAGGTGGGGAAACTGAGGCTCAGTTACCCTGGGCCACACACTGAGTCATTGGCAGGATAGGGGCTAGAATTCAGTGCTTGCCCTAAAGTCACATTTTTGTTCCTGGCCAGCGATGTTAATGTTGGGGACAGAGGTATAATCCCTAGCTTCTTAGAGGAGAAGGTGAATGCTGAGCTTAAAACCACAGTGGCCTCACTGACCACTAAGTATTGCCTCCCTGTGCCTATTTCTTGCAGTAAGCCTGGCCTCTACTTCAATTGAGAAATGCAGATGACACTAAAGAGCACACTTTGTGGAAGGTTCTAGTTTTTTCCACTTTCCAGGGGGTAGGGAGTTGGAGTTATTCACAAGGCTTTCAAAACATAAAAAAGAGAGAGGCCAAGCTACAGGCTGCAGCTCCCTTCCCCACACCTGACCCCACCACCCAACTAGACTCACTAGTTCACTTAGGAAAAAAAGGTGTGGGGCGTGGTGGTGAAGAGGTTCTGCTGCTTTAAGAAGAAAGTTTTTGCACTGCTAGCATGGTAGAAAGAGCACCGGGCAAAGAATCAGAAGCCCTTGAGTTCAGTGGCTCTGCTCCTTCTCTAAGTCTCAGTTTTCTGATATGCAAAACAGGTGGCTGTGTGAACTAAAGGAGGGTGCACGGAAACAAAATTGGAGGATGTGTTTTTTGGGAGGAGCACTGTAGGGAGGGACTGTAAGGGGCAGGCAAAGCCCCTCCCCACAGCCATCCAGCAGGACAATTTAGGGATAGGCACAATGACTGGCCCTGCTGCCCATGCTGTCGCCCCAGGACTAGTCCTGGGAGTTGCTGAGTATTAGTGATCCTGAGAGTGAGCTGTCTATAGGCTGGGGCCAGCCACTCTTAAGCAGAGATCTTTCTCAGTCAGAGGCCTTGAGGGAACCACCTATCTATTGTGTCCTGAACTGATGCAAGGTTTGGTGGCAATTTCGGCAACTTAAGGATCAAAGGAATAAAGCAAGTGAGTGCTAGAGGGAAACCCGTGGGTTGGACAGAAGCCAAATAATGGGCTGTGTACGTGTGGCAACTATGGGGTCAGCTCACCCAGGCTCGAATTCCCATTTAGCTGCTTACCAGCTTGAGCAAGTGATGAAACTTCTCTGCCCAGTCTCTCCTCTATCAATGATCGTTCCGTCCTCCTGGGAGATTTGAGCAGAAATCCCCCAGACACAGTGTCTGTAAATGCTGGCTGCTTCGAACAAGATGACAGTCCAAGCTGACCAAAGAAAGGAGTTGGATTGGAACCCACGTCTCCCGACTCCCAGTTCGGTGCTTTGCATGACTTACCGCACTACGTTTTCAAGCTGGTTGAGTGGCCCAAAGTTAAATTCTGATTTCCTAAGTCCTTTAGTTGGAAATTTCCAAAGTAACCCGCTGACCCCCTCCTAGTTGCAAAACAAGCCCATCGCAGGCCTGGCAAGTAGGGTGTAGTGCTCAGTCAGCGATGTTGATACCCACAGAGAGAAAGGCATGTGGGGACTCTCCACCCCCTGTCTCCCTCGATTGTTCTCTTTAACCCTTGACGAATCTGTGGACAGAGGCTCAGGAAGCTGCAGGGTTTAGATCTTTAATATAAAGCTCTAAACCCTCTAGCTTCCTGAGTCTCTGCCCATAGATTCTTTTTAAATAGCATCTTTTAAAAATAGCATCACTCCTGACATTTAGAGAGGGCCAACAAAGTTGAACACATTGCCCAAGATGACACAGCTAGTTAAGTCGTCGCCTTGAGGTTTCATCCCTGATTTGTCAAATCCTAGAGACCGGGCTCCTTCCAGAGTACCTCTGCTGCTTTACAAAGACTAAGTCTCCTAACCAGAAGGCTCTCATGGGGAATTTCCAAGGTTTCTTTTTTCTTTTTCTTTTTCTTTTCCTTTTTTTTTTTTTTGAGACAGAGCCTTGCTCTGTTGCCCAGGCTGGAGTGCAGTGCCATGATTTCTGCTCACTGCAACCTCCACCTCCCGGGTTCAAGCAGTTCTTCTGCCTCGGCCTCCCAAGTAGCTGGGACTACAGGCATGTGCCACCAAACCCAGCGAATTTTTGTATTTTTAGTAAAAGCAGGGTTTCACCATGTTGGCCAGGCTGGTCTCAAACTCCTGACCTCCGGCAATCTCCCATCTTGGCCTCCCAAAGTGCTTGCATTACAGGTGTGAGCCACTGCGCCCCACCTGAGGTTTCTAAAGTTGCATGTGTAAACCCCAGTCTTCCCTTGACTTAATCTGGTCCAGGGGCCCAGGTACAAAGACATGTAGAAATAGTTTGTTTTGGCCGGGTGCAGTGGCTCACACCTGTAATCCCAGCACTTTGGGAGGCCAAGGCGGGCGGATCACGAGGTCAGGAGTTTGAGACCAGCCTGACCAACATGGTGAAACCCCATCTCTACTAAAAATACAGAAAATTAGCCAGGCATGATTGTCCATGCCTGTAATCCCAGCTGCTTGGTAGGCTGAGGCAGGAGAATCGCTTGAACCCTGGAGGCGGAGGTCTGGGTGAGCTGAGATCGCGCCATTGCACTCCATTTGGGCAACAAGAGTGAGACTCCATCTCAAAAAAAAAAAAAAAAAAAGGAAGAAAGAAAGGAAAGAAATAGGTTGTTTTGTAATTCACTAATAGAGAAGGTACCTCCCTGGAACATTTTTTCTCCTGATGGTTTAGACCTTGTCCTCTGGGCCAACCTTCACATCTGTCTTAAAGGAAGGGTCTGAGTTTTTCTTTGGGGGAGGGGAAGCATACATTCTCCGGTCTTGATGCCCTGGGCTGAGTAAAGAAACCTCTCTGGAGCTCAATCCCTGAATGATTATGCCCCGCCAGACCCCATCTGGGGACCCAGTCACCTGACCTATTTATTCAGAAGTCACAGTAATTTCTTGTTTCTCCCCGCCCTTTCCCCTTGTCTCTGAGTCCAAGCCTGTCTCTACTACTAGTTTTATAACATTGAGCTAGTTTCTGCCCCTCTCTGAGCCTCCAATTTCCTTGGCTATGAAATGGGGTTGTTTCTTTACTTACCCTCTCTGGGTCTATCTCTGGGAGGCAGCCCAGCAGAAGTGGGGTGAAAAACAGGGACTCTGAAGCAGCCCTGTGCTCAGATCTTGGCTCCCCGATGTATCCTGGATATGTCATTAACAAATCTCTGTGCCTCAGTTTCTTCACCTGCAAGATGACAATCATATCTTCATCAGAGCCTTGACAAGAAGATTCACTGAAATAATACTCATTTAAAGCACCTAGCACAGTGTCTCATGTAGTAAGTGTTGCAGCATATATTGAGGGTTAGCTGCTAAAACCAGGACAGCTCTGTGCAAACTGGGATGGTTGGTGACCCTGCAGGAGACCCAGATGTGCCAGGCAAGGACACATGGACTGAGGGATGGCTAGGAGCCCGCCTGTCAGGTGCCGGCACACTGCGAGGGAATGACTGCTGGATCTTCTCACTTCCACATACCCATAGCTTCACATCCCCTTCCTCTCCTTTAGAGGGTTCCAGGCCTTGGTTCACCTGGTGAAAGGCAACATGGGCACAGGGATCCTGGGACTACCCCTGGCTGTGAAGAATGCGGGCATCCTGGTAAGAAAGGTGCCACAGGTGGGGCCTTCATTTATGGTCAGTTGTGGAAGGGAAATGAAAGGAGAGGCTCTAGCAGTTTAGCAACCTGTGGGGAGCTGTCTTTCCAGGAGGCAGCTTGGTGTGGGGCTAGAGTCTAGACATCGAGCCTGGGTTTGAGTTCTGGCTCTCCCACAGACTTTACTGCCCTTGGTAAGTCATTTGCCTGCTCTCTGGACCTTAGTTTCCTCTCTTGTAGAATGCAAGTATTGGACTATGCCCAGTTTTTCAAATATGCTCTACAGAGCACCAGGTCTCCTTGGGGATGTCTCAGGCGCCACAGAGGGCACACATGGTCAGGATTCTGTGTCCCCTACGTTCATCAGCATAACCCATTGTAATTGCTTTATGTGCTTTATTGTAATACTACTTGAGGTCATATTTGAAAGCATAGCTGTTGCTGCTCAAGAGGGCTTTAAACCCAGTTTGCTAGAGAGTTCTTTGAGTCCAGCATGATATCTGCATTACCAGTCCCACCTCGCAGTATACTTTAAAAATGCATTACCTTCTCTCCTCCCTCACCCTTTGCCTCCCCTTCCTCCAGATGGGTCCACTCAGTCTGCTGGTGATGGGGTTCGTCGCCTGCCACTGTATGCACATCTTGGTCAAGTGTGCCCAGCGCTTCTGTAAGAGGTGAGGAGAACAGCCTCCTTGTGTCAATTCCTTTGGTACGTGGTTCTCAGGGACAGCCCAGAAACATCCTATGCATAATAACAGCTTACTTCTTAGTTTTCTCCAGTGAGGCCAAGAAAGAGAGAAGAGCATTTAGGGGGAGGGAGCTCAGGTGAGGCTCTGCTGCATGGCTCCTCAGGAGACCTCAGTCAGGTCGTTATGCCTATCTGGCTGGATCCTCTGGAAATTGGGTATAAACTACGCAGAGAATTGTCATGAGGATCATGATCTGAAAACTACCATCCCCATGCAAGGTGTACATTATACTCTTGCTGGGTAGTCTCCGCCTCATTTAACAGGTAAAAAAAAACAAGCCACTGAGGAATTACTGCTGAGTGTCAAAGCCTGAAGTCTCTGCCCCTGTGTTCTTTCTGCTCCTGCCTTGTTCTTTGTCTCCTGACTTTTGACCATGTGATTTTAGACTAAACTATCTCCTGGAAACTGCCTATGCACTGTCTCCTGCAGGCTTAACAAGCCCTTTATGGACTATGGGGACACAGTGATGCATGGACTAGAAGCCAACCCCAGCACCTGGCTCCGGAACCACGCTCACTGGGGAAGGTAACTTGTTCTTGCTTTGCCTGCATTGGGGTAGGGCACAGGACGAGAAAAAGCTGCTATCAGGGATGACTTCCTCCCTCGAAAGGCGGTTGGTTTGGCACTTCTGTGTTAGACTTTATACATGGAACGGGCTCATTGGCAACATCCCTGATCCAGCCCCACTTCTTGTATATCTCCAGTGAGAGGGTGCTCATTCCTTTGCTATGCAGGTTTAATGTTATTCACTCTCTTATTAAACCACATTTATCCAGTTACTGTTATGGCCCTGGAAATGCCACGGGTACCAAGAAAAACTAGGCTTTGCCCTCACAGAACCCATAGTCCTGTGGGAAAGGCAGAAACTAAACAGCCTATAATAGGGTTATTTAATAGCCACTTGGATATGTACGAAGAAGGAAAGAAGTGCTGGTTGCCACCAGACAGGTTAGGAGATGTGTGTCGGCTTGGGGGAGAGGAGGGCTTTCTAGGATGAAACAGGCTGAGATGAGCTCTGTAGGAAGGAGTCCTGAAGAATGAGGAATCACCTCGGGGAAGGTGGACAGGGGCCTGGAGGATGGGCCCCGAAGAAGGAAGAGAGGGGGTGAAGGCCTGTGAAGCAAGAAAGTATAGGTGACAGCTTCAAGGTACAACAAGACCAGGTAGCTCGAGGGCAGAGAGTCAGGGGGGTGGAACTGAAGAAGGAGCCAGGCGCCCAATCAAGTGGTACATTTTAGACCCTCTCAAACAAAGACTCTATTTGTTCATTTCTTAAAAAGCATCCAGGAAGCCATTGGAGGGTTTTAATCAGGGAAGTCATCATATTTGTATTGTCTAAAGTTCTGTCCGGCTTCTGTGAGGAAAACAGATTGTAAGGGAGCAAGAGCAGGTTGAGTCAGGTCTCTGAGGAGGCTGTCAACGGTGTCCAGCCAGGTCACAATGGTGGCCTGGACCAAGCTGGTGGCAGGGGGATGAAGAAGAGTTGACTTGGTCATAAGCTGGATCCTGGGATTGGGAGACAAGGAAGAGTCAAGGCTGGCTCAGATTTCTGATGACTTTATTTTGGACAAATTGAGTTTGAGGTGCCCGAGAAACACATTCAAGTGGAGATGTCTAGTGGGGGTGTATGGGTTTAAGCCTATCTTCATGCACCTATCCGGAATTGAAGTCATCAGCCTTGAAGCTTATAGGGAGAGGTTATACAGTGAGAAGAAAACAGAGGAAAAGACCAAGATTTTAAGAACCTTTTGTTGAGCTGTAGGAAGTCATCCTCCCTGAAAAATCCCAGCTTTTAGCTCTCAGGGGTGACACAGAACAGTTCAACACCCTTTGTCTTCTGGTACTTGGGATTAAATCTACTCCTTTGTCTTTGTTTCAGACCTGTCCCCACCCTGCCTGTCTCCTCTTGTTGAGCACCATCTAGACTGTGAAAGTCTCTTTTGAACTGTGTTTTCTAAACTGCTGCAGTACTCACAGTGTGCCCCTGCCCATGGCAGGTAGTCTGTGTAGTATCATGGGCCTGGCACCATCCTTCACTCAACGCCCATACTCACAAGAGTAATCCATAACTTCAGTCTGTAAACAGACAAGGAAGGCTACTGGATAATGACCAGAATTTTCCCAATTGTGTGACCCAAAAAGAGACTTGCCTGTTGCAGACCCTCAAATCCTTCTACTCATTGTTGGGCATATAAAGATTTCCCTGCTCCGTTTAGAGACCTTGTTTCATGAATTACTGCCTCTCCTATTACTGGAATTCCTTTAGTATGGGCTCTTCCTCCCAGCATTTAATGTGTTCATGTATCTCCATCTTAAAAATAATAAAGCAAATAATAAAATAATAAAACTTTGTGAACCTTACCATTGTAGCCATCATCCTATCTTACATTCAATATATTATTCAACAAATGTCTACTAAATACCTACAATGTGTCACAAAGTGCTTTAGGCAATGAATGTACAGTAATGAGCAAATGGGTGCCATCAACACTGGACCACTCTGACTTTATTGCCTTACATCCCATCCACACCTCTTTCACGGACCACCTGTCTTTGCTGTCCTTATAATTCTACTGAAGTTCTTTCAAGCAATGTCCTAAAAGACCTTCTGGTTGCATCTTTTTTGCCCTAGAGAACCTTTCAGCAGTAATGGGTACAATGGACCGTTCTCTTCTTTCAACATTCTCTCCCCACTTGGCTACTATCAAACCTCTTTCCCCCTAGTTTCCCTCCTACCTTTCTAGCCACTCCTTTGCATTTGCTGTAGCCTTTTCTGTTTCTATTAAATGTTGATGTTCTCCAGAGTTTGAACACTGCCTTCTCCTCTTCTCATTCTGCACATTTCTTACACTTCTCTGCCTTTGCAAGTCTTTATCCACTGCTACAATGTAACAGTTCCAGACCCTAATATCTAGTTGTGTCCCAAATGTCTCCTATAGAAACCTCAAGCTCAATGATTCAGATTCTGAATTTGTCGTTTCTTCCCCTTCTCCTAAAACTTCTTTCTTCTGCGTCTCCCAGTTCATTTTGTTGTCCAAGCCAAAAGTCTATAAATCACCCTAGACGATCTCCTTTCCCTTTTCCCCCAAGATGTGGGGAATTACCATGTTGTGTAAATTATAGATCCCTAGTTATGTCTTGAAATGCTTCAGTTCTTTCATCTGAATGGTCATATGTCTGTCCAGGCTGCTGCCAACTTTCACCTCCATTATTGAAATAATCTCCTATCTATTTCCCCTACCCTCAGTCTTGCCCCTCTAATGGACTCCCCACATGGCAGCTGGGGAAACTGCCTCCTCCCTCTGTGGAGATGCTTTTCCTCACTTTTTCTCTTCCTCCCCTTTCTTCCCTTTCCTCCTCCTCCGCCTCTTCTTCTTTTCTTCTTTTTCTTCCTCTTCTCTTCTTCCCCCTCCTTCTCCTCCTCCTCCTCCTTCTTCTTCCTCTTCTTCTCCTTCTCCTCCCCTTCTCCCTCTTCCTCTCTCTTTCTCCTTTTCTCCTTCTCTTTCTTCTTCTTCCTCTCTCTTTTGTTGTTCCTCCCTCTTTTTTTCTCCCTCCCTCTTCCTTCCGCCAACTCTCTTTCTTCCCTTTCCCAAGGGGCTTTCTCTTAGGTATAGGGCTTTCTAATAAGGCTTCCTGTCTGCCCATAATTTAGATGAACTGCCCTTTTCACTATGGCTCTTAATGCCACATCGTAAGAATTTTTGTCCACCTAATCCATTAGTCATAAACCACAAGAAGAAGGGACTGTATGTTATTTTTCTGTGTATTCTCAGTGCCCAGCATAGTGTCTGGCACATGGTAGAAAAAAATTTCAAATCTGAATGGTAGCTAATAAAAACATTGTGCCTGCTGCCCTACATTAATTAGTATCCATGATGAGGAATGCCACCAAGCCAGGTATGGGGGGAGGCTTGTGACCAGGAAGAATTTTACCACTTACTGAGCTGAGAGTGTGAGGGTGTTTAAAAATTATTTTTAAAAAAGAACTACTGTTACCTCACTTCTTTGCCCCATTGTTGATTGTGGTGGAAGGATCAAGTGTGCTGGTACAGGGCCACCAACCCCTGGGGACAGAGGGCAGAATGGCAAGAAATGAAACTGACAAATTAATTTATTTTATAATAAGTTTTCTTTTTCCCTCTCTTCTTCCTTCTAGGCATATCGTGAGCTTCTTCCTTATTGTCACCCAACTTGGCTTCTGCTGTGTGTACATTGTGTTTTTGGCCGATAATTTAAAACAGGTAGAATCTTCTAGAGAAAACGGGAGGGGAAAAGATAGGGTCAAGGGCATGCCACTGCTGGTTGTTTAACAAACAGCTTCTTCTCTCTGGGTCCTCATCGATACAAAAAAAAGGAAGTTAAACTACAAAGTTGTCAAACTTGCCTCCCCTAGCTCACATAGCTGCAGATTTCTGTGTAGTTACTTTTGCCACAGTACCCTTTGTCCAATATCTTAGACCTGTCCTCAGAGTTGATCTCTACTGAGCTGGAAAGGCCCTTGGATTTTGTCAATCCTCCTTCCTGGAAGCTTAATTATTCTTGCTCCTTCTAAAATAGCTAGGGGTCTTCTTTTGATGATTCCTAATCTGCTTTGGGTCATTTTTCTATCTTTCTTTCTTTTTTTTTTTTTTTTTTTTTTTGAGACAGGATATTGCACTGTCACCCAGGCTAGAGTGCAGTGGTGAGACCACAGCTCACTGCATCCTCAAACTCCCGGGCTCAAGTGATTCTCCCACCTCAGACTCCCAAGTAGATGGGACCACAAGCATGTGCCGCCGTGCCTGGTTAATTTTTTTTTATTATTTGTAGAGCTGAGGCCTTGCAATGTTTCCCAGGCTGGTCTCCAACTCCAGGGCTCAGGTGATCTTCCCACTCTCTCCCAAAGAGCTGGGAATATAGACCTGAGCCACCACGTCCAGGCTTGGGCCATCTGTATCTACCTTTAGCAACTTAATCTGTGGCTTAACAGTTGCTGTCCCTAGGAAGTCTTTCTGATCTAACCTAGAAGTTATCTTACAACAATTTAAGCAAAATAATATAGGTAATAGCAGAGACCATCCTTAATCCACAAGTTTATAAAGAAAACTATGCTTTAGGGCTCTTTTTCTGCTTATAGTAGTAATACCAGAAATTCAAAAATGTAAACTAGTTAGAAGAAAAAAATAGTAAGCATTCAGTTAGCTTCTATTACGTCAGGTACAGTGCTGAGCATTTTACATGTTTTCCTTCTTTTAATTATCTCCATGACTTTATTAGGGTAGGTACTGCGGTTATTCCCATTTTGCAGATGAGAAAACTGAGATTAGAAACTCTATAATGTATGTAAGGTCACAGAGCCAAAGTTAAAAACCCAGGCCTGGCTGGGCATGGTGGCTCACAGCTATGATCCCAGCACTTTGGGAGGCCAAGGCTGTCAGATCACTAGGTCAGGAGTTCAAGACCAGCCTGGCCAACATAGTGAAACCCCATCTCTACTAAAAATACAAAAATTAGCCAGGCATGGTGGCGCGCATCTGTAATCCCAGCTACTCAGGAGACTGAGGCAGGAGAATTGCTTCAACCCCAGGAGGTGGAGGTTGCAGAGAGCTAAGATTGTTCCGTTGCACTCCAGCCTGGGCAACAAAGCAAGACTCCATCTCAAAAACAAAACAAAACAAAAAGCAAACAAACAAACAAAAACTCAGGCCTTCTGATGCAAAAGCTCAAGTTCTTAAACCTATGTTGTATTTCTGCAAACAAAATAAAATTATTCTTAATCCAACTATTCATGGTTATAATTTCATATAACCGTAACTGGTCAGCATTTTGCAATATCCTTACGTTTTGTCATGTAATTTTCAATAGTTTCATAATATTCCATCACACAGATTGAGCATATCCTCATCAATCTTCTATTGCTGAACAATTCCCTTATTTTCCTTTGTTTCTCTACTATAATCTATTGGCACAAAGGTCTTTGTGCACTTCATTTCCTGAATGTTCCTTAAAGTGAAATTACTGAGTCAAAGAATTTGTTTTGAAGGTTCTTAAGACATTGTCAGATTTCTCTTTAGAAAGCAATCTGACATGTACAAACCTATACTTATCATCTGCATTTATTATTATCTACATTTATTTATCATCTGCATTATTACCAAGGCAGACACTGTAACAAGGAGTTTATAGGCCAAGTAGGGTGTGTTCTAAAACCTAGTAAGTTAAATATCAATATGATATTTTGGTGCCAGGCCAGGATACCACTAACAACAACAACATGAGGTCAGGGTGCAAACTACATTGCAGAGATCACTGGAGCAGGGAAAGTGTCCTCCAGAGGGGTGGTGCATCTGAGCCGGGTATTGACAGGTTGGAGAAAAAGTGGTGGCAGCCAAGGTGAGAGAAGAAATCAGTGAAAACCTGGTGGCAGGAACTTATGGGACTGGCCCAGGAGACGCAATATAATTGGCTACAGGAGGAAGAGTAGGTCATGGGAGAGGAAGAAACCTTGAAAGTTTGATAGGGCCCATTTATGGAGGGCCTTGAGTGCCTGGCAAATGTTCCAGTTATTTTTCCTATTGTAGTAAGGAAACAGAATAAAATAATACTTACCTGATTCATTTATGTATCCACAGTGTATTGTTAAATGCAAGGGACATTTAACAAAAGAAAAGAGTGAACGCTATGATTGAAGTCTTATAAATGAAAAAGAATATGTATAATACATGCAATTTGTGATATTGTATAGAAAATATATAGATGAATATCTCCCAAGATGTTAGCATCTTGGTACTGAGATTATCAATGCATTTATGTTTTTCTCCTGCTAAACTCTAGTTCCTAAATGTTCTGCAGTGGTTTGTGTTGCTTGTCCAATAAGACTGTCTCGGTTAGGTCATGCTGACTTTTAAATGGAGAGTGGTGGCATTCACCTACCTACTGACTTTATAAGGGGTGTTTATATTGTGTGGGGGCTGGAGGATGGTTTCTTGTTTATCACAGTGATTGGGGATCTCATGGCTTTCATTGGGTGGGGTCCAGGGCTACTAAATCTTCTGCAATGAATGGTCCAATCCACACAAGGAAGAGTTTTCTTATTTAAAATGCCAGTATTGTGCCAATTAGGAGTCAGTAAGTGTATGTGTTAATTAGGAAACAGTAAGTGATGAAGTTTTTAGGTTATCACAAAAGAAACAAATTCTGGGAGAATTTAAGCAGAAAATAAGTTTCATGGGAGGATATTACCTTTCACTAAATTAAAAAGCAGGTCTGAGGGAAGAACAGGAGCCAGGGTAGTGAGGAGGATGTGGATGGTGGAACTAATAAGCAGCATGAGCAGCATGAGCAGCCTTCTCAGGAATCACTACTAATCTTTGCCCTTTTCTAGTCCGTCCTTAGGTCCCTATGCCTAGATTGACACTCAGATTCCTGGAAGAGGATCTGCCTGCCCCAGCTTGAGTTAAAGGCCAATCCCCTAGCTCTGCCACATTGTGATTTACAGTCCTCCAATGCTGCATTCAGTGACAACAGAGAACTCACTAAAATCAAACTGGTATCAGGAGAAATGGATACTAGTTGCCAAAAGCTAACAAATAGCCACTGTGAATCCAGTTATTTATTTTGTATTATATTTATTTTTAACTATTTGTACAAGCTTTTATATGTATGTTATATATATGTATATATGTTATATATATACATACATATGTTATATATATATGTTATATATATTATATATATACACACACATATATATACATGTATGTATATATATGTATATTTTATACCTCTACCTCCCAGGTTAAAGCAAGAATCGCTTTATATATATAACATACATATTACGTATAGATTATTATATATGTTATATATATTTATAATGTATAAAACATCTGTTATTATATTTATATATAACATATATATGTGTATATATACATATATTATATATGTATATATTATATATAATATATGTATATACATATATAATATATACAGGGCCTCACTCTGTTGCCCAGCCATGAGTGTGGTGGCATGATCTCAGCTCCCTGCAACCTCTGCCTCCCAGGTTAAAGCGATTCTCGTGCCTCAGCCTCCTGAGTAGCTGGGATTACAGGCATTCGCCACCACGCCTGGCTAATTTTTGTATTTTAATAGAGATAGGGTTTCACCATGTTGGCCAGGCTAGTCTCGAACTTCTGATCTCAAATGATCCACCCACCTCGGCCTCCCAAAGTGCTGGGATTAGAAGTGTGAGCCACCACGACCAGCCTGTACAGCCTCTTCTGAGGTAGGATGGTGCAGAGGGTTTAGAATGAGTTCTAAATTCACCCTAACTCACCGTGAGGGTTGGTACCATGAGACACTCCAATTCGTTGTGAGGGAGTTTGATTAGGGGAAAGGCACTGAGCCAACCATGAGGCTAGAAGAGTCATCATCTCCCCCTCTTGTTTCTCCCATTCCTTCCTCAGGTAGTGGAAGCTGTTAATAGCACAACCAACAACTGCCATTCCAATGAGACCATTATTCTGACCCCCACCATGGACTCACGACTCTACATGCTCTCCTTCCTGCCCTTCCTGGTGCTGCTGGTTCTTATCCGGAACCTCAGAATCTTGACCATCTTCTCCATGCTGGCCAACATCAGCATGCTGGTCAGCTTGGTCATCATCACCCAGTACATCACCCAGGTGAGTACAAACCACACAGCTGCGCACTCCACTGGACAGGGTTTTCGTATCAGACAGACTGAGCTCTAGATACCTGGAGCCAATCCTGTAGGTGGTAAGAGCGTTATGCACCTCACTGTAGCCTTTCTTCTACAAAGATGTCTCTATGCAATCCCATTCTTCTGGTTGTCTCGTTGTTCTTGTTCTTTCTCTACATACCTACTTTTTTTTTTTTTTTTTTTTTTTGGAGACAGATTCTTGCTCTGTTGCCAGGATGGAGCACAGTGGCGCAGTTTCGGCTCACTGCAACCTCCGCCTTCCGGGTTCAAGCGATTCTTCCGCCTTAGCCTCCCAAGTAGCTGGGATTACAGGCGCATGTCAAACGCCCGGCTAATTTTTATATTTTTAGTAGAGACGGGATTTCACCATGTTGGCTAGGATGGTCTCGATCTCTTGACCTTGTGATCCACCTGCCTTGGCCTCCCAAAGTGCTGGGATTGCAGGCGTGAGCCACCACGACCGACCTTAAATACCTACTTTTATGTCAAATTCTGGCTTTTTTTTTTTAAGTGTGCTTGCAAGGAAAACATCTTGGTTGGTGAACTATAGACCATTCCTTTAATTGTTGGCTGGCAGCAAAAGGCAGGTGAAAAGAGGTTCTTGTACTACAGCTAAAACTTATTGAATTACCCATAGGCTACAATTTCAGGTACCTGGTATTACCCCTAAGGAAGGCAAGAGAAAAAAAAATCTAATATTTAGTCACCAAGGTATATGTAAAGTCTCAAAAACCATAAGCTTTCAATAAGTGTCTTGTTACTAAAAAACCAAACTCGTAAAAAAAAAAGAAAAAAAAAAAGCCAAACAAACAAAACTGTAAGCAAATCTATTATAATGTTAGTTACGATGTCTTTTAGGTTGAATTATGGATATTGATTTTCTCTCAGCTTCCTAATTTGCTATCCTTTCTAATTTTTATTTATTTATTTGAGATGGCGTCTCAATCTGTCACCCAGGCTCGAGTGCAGTGGTACGATCTTGGCTCACTGCAGCTCTGCCTCCGGGTTCAAGTGATTCTCCTGCCTCAGCCTCCTGCATAGCTGAGACTACAGGCACCAGCAACCATGCCCAGCTAATTTTTGTATTTTTAGTATAGACGGGGTTTTACCATGTTGTCCAGGCTGGTCTCGAACTCCTGACCTCAAGTGATCTCCCCACCTCGGTCCGCCAAAGTGCTGGGATTACAGGTGTGAGCCACTGTGCCCAACCTAATTCTTCTTTTATAGTGGACCACACTACATAGAAAGTTAAGTCTCAGAAGTCTCTTGGCATATTTACTAACTTCCAGATGTTCTTCTCTTTAAGAAGCCAAAAGAGAAAAAAAGTTACATTGTCTGTGAAATTTAGTAAAAGTAATAGTCAAACATTTTAGAATAACTGCAGATCAATCTTATATTCCTTAGAAGATACTGATGAATTCTATAAAATTAAATTTCCTAATGAGATAGCTACCTTTGATACATTTTTGGACAATTCCAAAGATTGCCCAATTAGAAAAATGGTTCTGTCATCATTTTCACATTCTGGGTCACAAGGTACATAGGATATTTATTCTACACAGTCTTCTCCCCTTCAGTTTACAGCTCATTAAAGAAGAAAAGGGGTCTTTCATATTTAATTCATGACTTTGGCTTCCTAGATTATTACTATGACCGCAATCACAGCAATTTCCGACACCTATGACCATTGTCCATTCAAAGGACAGTTCATGAGTGCATTAGGTTGGCACTGATCTGCGGTATGTAAGGTTTTCTTTTGAAGGTTTTTTTGTTTGTTTTTTGAGATGGAGTTTTGCTCTTTTACCCAGGCTGGAGTGCAGTGGCACAACCTCAGCTCACTACAGCCTCCGCCTCCCGGGTTCAAGCAATTCTCCTGCCTCTACCTCCCAAGTAGCTGGGATTACAGACGTGCGCCACCACACTCGTCTAATTTTTGCATTTTTAGTAGAGTCAGGGTTTCACCATGTTGGCCAGGCTGGTCTCGAATTCCTGACCTTGTGATTCGCCCGCCTCAGCCTCCCAAAGTGTTGGGCTTATAGTCTTGAGCCTCCGCGCCTGGCCCTTTTGGAGGTTTTGATAAACCGAACTCCCTCCATGAGAGGCTAATCCTTCAGTACTTCGACAATACTGTCCTCTGGCTCTTTGGTATTGTGCAGTGTTGAAATCAACGTTGATCACGGCCTACAACCCTTTAAAGTTTTCTAAACTTCTTGATATTCAATTTTTAAAAATTCAGGTCTCATTTGAGAGTACCCCTCTCTTAAAGGAGCTGAAATGTGCTTTGGAAGTGATTGTCTCATAGCGTTTCTCTCTCCTTTAGGAAATCCCAGACCCCAGTCGGTTGCCACTGGTAGCAAGCTGGAAGACCTACCCTCTCTTCTTCGGAACAGCCATTTTTTCTTTTGAAAGCATTGGTGTGGTAAGGTTTGAATTGAGGTGGCCTTATCCCTGGTGCTGTGAGTGACCTTCTGGAAAGGAGCTGTGAGCTCTAGGTTTCTGTGTCCCACTGACCATGTTTTGGGCCTGCTAGAAAATGCTCATGGGAGAAAGTAACCTCTGGCCTCACTTGGGACAGTTGCCACCAGCAGGACAAAAGTTGTTTACAACAGAGAAGCAGTCAGGAGGCAGTTTTATTTTTGTCCCCATATTCCTAGTAAACGTTTATCCTCCTGTCAACATGAGTTTCCTAATCTTTTAAAATCAAGATGAACCATGGTGTCCAGTTTAAAGGATTTGATTAAACGTAATGGAGTTTTAACCTGGAAAGTTCTGTGTATTTACAGTCTATAGCCTCTACTTCCACACTTGTGGAAGGGTAATGCTGTTTATATATTTTTTAAATTTACTTTTAGTGTACACACAGTAACATTCACTTTTTTGGTGTACATTCCTGTAAGTTTAGAGAAACACATAGAGGAATAAATGCAGCAAAATTAGGACTCAGAACAAGTCTTCACTACAAAAACTCCCTCATGCTGGCCCGTTGCAGGCAGCTTCCCTACCTACCACTAACCCCTCACAACCACCTTCTGTTCTCCGCCTGTACTGTCTTCTCTTTTCCAAAAGGTCACCTGTATGGGATCATACAGTATGTATGAGATTCTGAGACTGGCTTCTTTCACTTAGCCTAATGCATTTTAAATTCATCCCTGCTTTGGGACACATCAGTAACACCTTGCTTTCTATTGCAGAGCGTCTACTGTCTGGGCAGTACCACAGCTTATCAATGCACCTGTCAAAGAACATTTGGGTTGTTTCTAGTTTTTGACAATCATGAATGATACTGCTGTAAGCATTTGCGTACAGGTTTTTGACATTGAACATCTTTTCATTTGCTTGTTGGCAATTTGTACATCTTCTTTGGTGAACGTCTAGTCAAGTCCTTTGCTTATTTTTAGTTAGGTTGTTTGTCTTTTTGTTGTTGAGTTTTAAGAGTTCTTTATATATTCTGGATACTAAATGCTTATCAGAAGAATGATTTGCAAATATTCTTTCTTATTCTTGTCTTCTCCCCTTCTTTTTTTCTTTTAAATTTTTTCTTATTAAAGAATGAGATGGGGCTGAGCGCGGTGGCTCACATCTGTAATCCCAGCATTTTGGGAGGCTGAAGCAGGCAGATCACTTGAGGTCAGGAGTTTGAGACCAGCCTGGCTAACATGGTGAAACCCCATGTCTACTAAAAATACAAAAATTAGCCAGGCGTGATGGCATGTGCCTGTAATCCCAGCTACTCAGCAGGCTGAGGCAGGAGAATTTCTTGAACCCACGAGGTGGAGGTTGCAGTGAGCTAAGATCAGGTCACTGCACTCCAGCTAAGGTTACAGAGAGAGACTCTGTTTCAAAAAAAAAAAAATGAGATGAGATCTTGCTATGTTGCCGAAGCTGGCTTTTAGTCCCTGGGCTCAAGTGATCCACCTGCCTCAGCCTCCCAAGTAGCTGGGATTATAGTTGCACAACCATAGTTCATCATGCCTGATTTCTGACTTTCTTGATAGTGAACTGTGATGTACAAAAATTTTTAATTTTGATGAAGTCCAATTCATCCTCTTTTTTTCTGCTTGTGCTTTTTGAGTTATGTCTAAGAATCTATTGCAAAATCTAAGGTCATGGCTAGATGTGGTGGCTCACACCTTTAATCCAGCACATTAGGAGGCTGAGGCAGAAGGATCACTTGAGGGCAAGACTTTGAGACCAGCCTGGGCAACATACAGAAACCCTGTCTCTGCACAAAAAATTTAAAAATTAGCTAGGTGTGGAGGCACACACCTGTAGTCCCAGCTACTCAGGAAGCCAAGGCAGGAGAATCACTTGAGCCCAGGAGTTCAAGGCTGCAGTGAACTATGATTGCATCATTGCACTTCAGCCTAGGTGACAGAGCAAGACCCTGCCTCAAAAAAAAAAAGGAAAAAAAAAAAAGAAAAAGAAATCAAAGGTCATGAAGATTTACCTCAGAGTTTTCTTCTGAGTTTTATGGTTTTCACTCTTACATGTAGGTCTTTAATCCATTTTGAGTTAATTTTTGTACGTGGTATGCGTAAGAGTCAAACTTCATGTTTTGTATGTGGTTATCCAGTTGTCCAAGCACAATTTGTTGACAAGATTATTCTTTCCATGTTGTATAGTTTTGACACACTTGTCAAAAATCAATTGACCATCTATGTAAGGGTTTATTTCCATACTCTTAATTCTATTCCATTGGTCTATATGTCTACCATTACACCAGAACCACACAGATTTGATTATTGTACTTCCATAGTATTCCACTTTAACCCTTTAATTGGCCTATTGACTTTTTGATTGTATCTTTTTCCATAATACATTTAGTAGTTTAGGGATTATAATATACATTCTCACAGGTTACTTTAATATTTTATCATTGCTAGTAAACTGTCAAAATTTTACAATCATATAGGGCACTTCCCCCCTTATGTTGTATTGCCATATGTATCTAAATACACTGAAACATCAGCAATGTTATCATTTTTGCTTTCAATAGTCATACATAGTCCTTGTAATAAACTTACTAGGAGAGAAAATAGGCTATTATATCTACTCAGATATTTACCATTTCTGTTGCTCTTTCTTTATTCCTGAAATCCCATTTCCTTCTGGCATCATTTCCCTTTAGCATGAAGAACCTTCATTAGCATTTCTTTCAGAGCGGGTCTGCTAGTAACAAATTATCTTCATTTTCTTGATCTGAGATTGTTTTTGCCTTTATTACTAGAGGATATTTTTGCACGATACGGAATTCTAGGTGAATAATTCTTTTTTTTCATCATTTTGAAAATATGATTTCCTTTCGTTTTGCCCTCAGTGGTTTCTGATGAAAAATCTGCAAATGTTTGAATCATTGTTCTCCTAGGTGTTTTTCTCTGGTTGCTTTCATAATTTTAAAAAGTATTTTTAAATCAGCAGTAATACTGTATTATATTTAATGTAGTTTCTTTGAGTTGGTCCTGTTTGGGATCTCTTAAATCTGTAAATGTTTGTCTTTTACCTAATTTGGGAGGCTTTCAGCCATTATTTTTTGGATTTTTTTTTTTCTTCACCAATCTCTTTTTCTTCTCCATCGGAGATCCCAATAACCTGAATGTTAGACTTGTTGATATATAGTCAACCCTTAGTATATGCAGGAGATTGATTCCAAGACCCCGCCCCACCCAGACACATCCAGTGTATAAACAGTCTGCACCAGGAGACTAAAATCCTGGCTTTCTAGCTAGAGGATGGGAAAAAGAAGCCACTGTGAACTGGCTAGTGTGGAGGAAAACACAGAGAACAGGAAATTGGAAAAAGCAATCTCCTAAAATCTGTGAATAATATCTTGGGCCCAGCCCTGAGCTGTACATGTGTGGAACTAATGGGAAGCATCAAAGCAAAGGCTTTGAGAACTGAACTACTGTGTAGAGTCCCATCTGCAGATTGGCACTGGGTGGCACAGGAGCAGGGTAGAGCCAAATATCATTTTAAGGGCTTTGAAAGCTAATTGGATATTGAAACCATAGCCCACAGAAGGTGAGCAAGGACTTATGATCTGAATCTAACCAGGTAGATGGTTTGCTAAAACAAAAAAATCAACATTCTGAACAGGATTTTAACAGGATCCTGAGTCTCCTAAAATAATATTCAAAATGCATAGTCTAAAATTATTCATCCTACAAAGAACCAGAAAAATCTCACCAGCTTTTGAGAGAAAACACAACTTTAACACTCTGCTGGAATCATCCTTCACCAAGGAACCCTACATTTTCATTTTGCACTGGGGCCCATAAATTATGTAGCCAGTCCTGATTTCCCACATTCTTCAGTCTCCTAAAGCTCACTTTCCTAGTACTTCTGTGTAGAGAGAAGGATTTTTATCTAAGATTTCTAAATGCCTGCATGACCACTGCAGCCACTGATATACCAGAATGCTGCTTAGTGACTGGGACTTGCCTTAAGGTCATGGCCTGGAGATAAAACAAAGAAACAGAAAAATAGAGATTCTCTCCATGCTCTTCATCCCACAGGAGACCCTATTCTAAGTCATGTGGCCAAAAAGAAGTTTCTCTTAATGTTATTTTCTGTCTGTATACACTGCATAGTTCTAGGATTTGGGTGTCCTTCAAGGTTAAACTAGGACATGTGGGAAGAAAAAAAGCAGGAAACTCACCACCATGACGGTCGTTTTTTCTTTTTGCTTTCCCTCCCCATTCTGCCTGCTACTATTTACTCTTCAGAATCAGCGCACAATTACTTTATGTGTTTCGTCCAGGATTTTTAGTTGTAATCAGTGAAAGGGATATTGTGAAGTGTGCTCACTTTACCTATATGGAACTGGAAGCACTTTGTTTTTAGAATTTGGAATAGTCAAGGGCAAAAGCAGAGTGTGGTAGTCACAAAAGCAAGTGACTTTGGAGGCAGAATGTGCTGGAATCTGGCTTTGGGTGGGGCTACTTCCTGAACTCTAATTCTCCAACTATAAAATGATGACAATATTTGTTTGGTAAGTATTTCTTGAATGCCTCCTATGTGCTGGTGGTTCTTAGTATTAACTGAAATTATCTTAAGAAAAACTCTTCTAGCCCAGTCTCCAGTTTTGCAGAAGAAGGACAGTCCCAGAGAGAGAAAGGGACTTCAGTAAGGTCACCAGCTAGGAACTGTGCAGATGTGATTAAAACCTAGTACATCTGACACTCAGTCCAGGGACCTTTCCACTCTATGTCAACAGCCATTTTTCTCTTTGACTGATTAATTGTAGACAGAGAGAGAGACAGAGAGGAAACCAGCTACTCAGTCTAATCAGTCTTGTGAAAAGATCATTTTTGGTCTTGCGAATATATGCAGCAAAATGGTATCACAGGGTGCAAGAGCTCAGGTGGATCATCTGCTCTTTATGTAACTATTGTGTAATTGTCAAACATCCTCGTGAGCACCTGCTGCAACTAGACCTAATCCAGAAGAAAGTGCAAAGGCACAGGGATGACCCAACAAGCAACAAGCAAGATGCCCTCAAGCATCTTCCAAATTCCTGGAGTGGAGGAAGGGCTAGGGGTTGCAGGGCTGGAAGTTTGCAAACACAACAAAAAAGCATTCAACAATACAAGGGAAAAGATGCTAAATTCCTATTTCGTAACAAATATGCCCATTGCTATAGGAGGTGAAGCAGATACTTGGAGTTTGGATGACAGCCCTGGTTTACAACCTGAATCTGCCACTTTCTGGTTCTGTAACTTGGGATGTTATCTCATTTTCAGAGTCTTGTTTTTCTCATCTGTTAAAACAAGAATTAGGCAGGTACCGACTTCATAGAGTTATGGTCTTCATAGTATTAAAAAATAATAACTGCCGACATTTACTAAGCCCTTGACTGTGCCATCATGGTGCTTGTGTAATTCTCCACAAAATTTGCAAAATTTGGCCAGGTGTCATGTCTCTTGCCTGTAATCCCAGCACTTTGGGAGGCTGAGATGGGAGGATCGCTTGAGCCCAAGAGTTCAAGACAACATGGCAAAACCCCATCTCTACAAAAAATACAAAAATTAGCTGGGCATGGTGGCACATGCCTATAGTCCCAGCTATTCAGGAGGCTGAGGTGGGAGGGCTCTCTTGAGCTCAGGAGCTGGAGGTTGTAGTGAACTGTGATTGTACTACTGCACTCCAGCCTGGGTGACAGAGTGACACTCTCTGAAAAAGAAAAAAAAAAGCAAAATTCATTTGAGCCCGTTTTCAGATAAGGAACATATCAGGTAAATAGCGCATGTAGAGAGTGCTTAGCACACAGTCTGAACAAGGAGTAGGAGAAGGTGGGGGTGGTCTCTGGGACAGTAAGAGCCTGAGAAGGAAATTATGGGATGAGGAACGGGAAGATTGGTTTTAAAGACAAAAGAGACCTTCAAGTACCCAACCAACAGAAGGCAGACTGGCCTCAACTTGGATTCTCTTAGAATCAGGTATGCATTTAAGGGAAGAAGGATTCTGAGAACAGAAGAGTAAGAACCTGGGGTGTGGGGCAATGCACTGCTGATGGAACCAGGAAGCGCTTTCTGGTCCCAGCTGTTACCAGCACCCTGTGTTCCTGGAGTCTCAGCCTCCCCACTGTATAGTAATGGGTGATGGGGAAGGCTGCTCTGGAATTAGGAGTTTCAAATATAAATGCCTTTGGAAAGCCAGGTATAATTCATTGGTGGGCGGGGGTGAAGGGAGATGGGCCTGGTGAATGGGAAAAGAATGTTGTACCTAAAGGCAATCATATTCAATTGTCTGAAAGACTGTGCTGTCAAAACAAAATGCATCTGCTGGCCAGATCTAGCTGCCCCAGAGTCTTGAGATCTTTGGTCTAGATAACTTCAGGGGCCCTTCCAGCTCTTAACCATCCAGGGATCATCATGTGACTCCAGTTTTTTCCTTTTATCTTTTTCTTCCTCCTTACCCTCATCTTCCGACTTTTTTCCTCCTCTTTTATTTCCTTATCTTTAATTGTGATGAAACACACCTAACATAAAATTTACCATCTTAACCATCTTCAAGTATACATATATATTAAATTCAGATTATTGCACAACCATCACTGCCTTCCATCTGCAGAACTCTTCATCTTGCAAAACAAACTCTGTGCCCATTTAAAAATAACTCCCATACCCTCCTCATGCCAGTCCTTCCCAACTAGCATTCTGCCTCTTTGAACCTGCCTACTCTAGGTACGATGTATAAGTGGAATCAGGCAGTCCTTGTCATTTTGTGACTGGCTTTTTTCACTCAGCATAATGTCCTCAAGATCCATCCACATGGTGGCATGTGTCAAAACTTCCTTCTTCTTATGGGCTACATCACATTCCATTGCATGGATACACCACATTTTGTGCATCCCTTTTCTGTTGCTAGGCACTTGGGTTGCCTCCACATTTTGGCTATTATGAATAACACTACTATGAACATAAGTGTACAAATATCTCTTTGAGGCCCTGCTTTCAGTTCTTTTCTGTAGACAGCCAGAAGTGGGATGCCATTTTTTTTTATGTTCGTGTTTCTCTTTCTCCTTCTTACTCTTTACACTGTGATGTTTCTGTAGGTTCTGCCTCTGGAAAACAAGATGAAAGATGCCCGCCACTTTCCAGCCATCCTGTCTTTGGGAATATCCATCATCACTGCCCTGTACATCGGCATCGGGGCTCTGGGCTACCTGCGGTTTGGAGATGACATCAAGGCCAGCATAACCCTTAACCTGCCTAACTGCTGGTACCTTCATGGGCTGTCAGGTGGTAGGGACTAAGGGATGGGTGGAAACACGTAGGTCACTTCCTCCTCCCTTCCACAGCTGGGAAACAGAGGTCTAGAGAGCCTCCCACGGAAGAAGCAAAGTTGTCATTGGAACCGTAGTCTCCAGATTCTCTGTCCGGGGAGTTCCTCCTTCAACAACAGCCTCCCACATTGAGTTAAGCGTTGACATCTTAGTGTGAAGGAGGACATGGCTTAAGAAGAGAGGACACAAGTGAGAGTCCTTGGTCTCCTAAGGGGAGAAGGGAGGGGGAGGAGCACTGGGAGAAGGCAAGAGACAGAGAGAGGAGTCAGTGGGTGGCCACACTTCCCATTGTGTTTACTAAGGCTCACCACCAAGCCTTGCTTGCCACAGCCAATGGTTCACTTTCCCCAAGTCAGAGTAACAAGATAAAAAAGTGGAAAACAAAAACCAATTGTGCCATCCTGGGCAACATGGTGAGATCCTGTTTCTACAAAAAGATTCCTAAAACTTAGCTGAGCATGATATCTCACATCCGTAGTCCCGGGGGGGTGAGGTGGGAAGATCACTTGAGCCCAGGAGTTTGAGGTTACCGAAGGCTGTCATCGCACCCCTGCACTCCAGTCCAGCCTGAGTGACACAGTGAGACCCCTGTCTCTTAAAAACAAACAAACAGGCTGGTGTGGTGACTGATACATGTAATCCTAGCACTTTGGGAGGCCGAGGTGGGTGGATCACCTGAGATCGGGAGTTCAAGACCAGCCTGGCCAACACAGTAAAATCCCGTTTCTACTAAAAATAAAAAACTTAGTCAGGCATGGTGGCGCACACCTATAGTCCCAGCTACTAGGGAGGCTGAGGCAGGAGAATCGCTTGAACCTGGGAGGTGGTGCGCAGTGAGCCAAGATAGTGCCACTGCACTCCAGCCTGGACAACAGAGAGAGACTCTGTCTCAACAAACAAACAAAACAACAATTTGGGAAGACGATTGGAATCTGTAAAAGTCTTATGTTCTAATATACCCAACTCATGCAATGGTTAGCAGCCCCACAGACTTCAACAGTGCCTTATTGAACAGACACATGAACCCACATCCCATCGTGCAGGATTTTTTCCCACACCAGGTCATGTCATTAATTATAGGACACTTCGGTCTTCTCACAGTCACAGTCACTTGGAGCCCTAATTTGCCTAAATGGGGCTCCTTTCCAAAGATGATAATGCCACTCATCAAGCATTTACTTCATGCCAATTATAAGCAGATGCCAGGCTAGATACACAGGAGTGCGGATGGAAGTCATGTGAGCAGACTATGAACTTGAGGCTTTACTCTCATCACCAGCTCCTGATTCAATGAGAATGGGGGAGGGACAGATAGCGTATATATACACACTGTAACATACAAAAAGAAGCTCTCCCCAGTAGCAAAGAGGACTTGGGGATTTCCAAGGAAAGAAAGCACATCAGAAGGAGACAGCAGGGAAACTCATAGTCCAGCAGGTCAGCTCCATCCAAACATGGACCATTCTGGGTCTCTGTTGTACCGCCTACTCGCTTGTGGTGGTGGCTGATTTACTTCACCTCTCTGCACGTGTTTCCTCATCAATAAACCAGAGTTGTCATGAGGATAAAGTTGGGCAGTGTCTAAAAGCATCTGGCTGTGGTACCTGCTCAGAAGAGGGAAATTTCAAACATTTGGTGGAGTTTGAACAGATGGAAAAGGACTAAAGAAGGTGCTCAGGCAGCAGGACTAGTGTGAGCAAGAAACAGAAATGTAGAAGTTAGCCTTTTTAAGGAATGTGCTAAATACACACACACACACACACACACACACACAATTTATTTATTTATTTACTTATTATTTATTTATTTATAGAGGCAGGGTCTCACTCTGTCACTCAGGCTAGAGTGCAGTGGTGTGATCTCGGCTCACTGCAACCTCCACCTCTTGGATTCAAGCAATTTTCCTGCCTCAGCCTCCCAGGTAGCTGGGATTACAGGTGTGCGCCACCATGCCTGGGTAATTTTTGTATTTTTGGTAGAGACGGGATTTTGCCATGTTAGCCAACCTGGTCTTGAACTCCTGACCTCAAGTGATCCACCCCCTCTTGGCCTTCTAAAGTGCTGAGACTACCAGCATGAGTCACTGCACCCAGGCTCACACACACATTTATTAAACATGGAAATGCATCTACCACATTAGTAGACTGAATGAAAATAGTCCTATCTCAATAGATCAAAAAGAAAAAAACTTAGATAGAACTCAAAAGCCCCTGAAGCCTCACACACTCTCTGCCCCTAGCTTGAGGCTGACAAGTAACCCTGTTTCTCCTTTAATTCCACCCTGACCCCTGCTACCTTTCACACAGCCCTATTTATAAACTATCTCTTCCCCCAACGATTTGGGGTTCTGCAGTTCTCTCAACCAACAAGAGGCATCTGTTATGTGCCAAGAGCTTTGGGAAATCTAGAGAATTTCTGAGGACTGACAGATCACAAAGGACTACAGTGTTTTAGATCTAGGGCTTTTGGTCTTAGCCACTTATCATCTGTGTCTCCCTGGGCAAAGTGTCTGGCCTGAGCCTCTCTTCTCTAAAACATAATATTGAGCATCAGATGGTAGTGATTTGTGAAGGTGCAACATATAGCCAAGCTCAGCTGGGAACGATGGCTCACACCTGTAGTCCCAGCACTTTGGGAGGCTGAGGCTGGAGGATCACGAAGTCAGGAGTTTGAGGCCAGCCTGGCCAACATGGTGAAACCTCATCTCCACTAACTATACAAAATATTAGTCAGGCTTGGTGGTAGGTGCCTGTAATCCCAGCTACTTGGGAGGCTGAGGCAGGAGAATCCCTTGAACCCAGGAGGCAGAGGTTGCAGTGAGCCAAGATCATGCCATTGCACTCCAGCCTGGGCAACAGGTGAGACTCAAAAAAAAAAAAAAAAAAAAAAAAAAAAAAAAAAAAAAAAAA